TTCTTTCTTTCTTTCTTTCTTTCTTCCTTCCTTCCTCGATCCCTTCCTTCCTTTCTTTCAAAGTCTCGTTACCACATTTATTATCAGCGATATAATACGTTCGTTGGCTATCTATTGAATGATCAGTAAAAAATTTAAAAGCGCAATGACTGGAGACAACCAGAGAAAAATATATAAATGAACTATTGCTGAAGTCAGCGTGAATTTTACAGCGAATTAAAATTATAAATAATGTAAACTTCAAATTAAATCAAGAATAAATTGTTATTATTCAATAATCTGTCTTTACAGTACACTTTGAACCACTCCTTTTATTTTAATATTTCATTATTACAAATGTGTTAGGATAACAGAAAAAATCGAAAACTCACAATAAAGACTTTTTTTTCGCAAGTCGAGTTATTCCCGAGATTCGATGGAAAATAAATATCTAACACTAGCGCTTGGGGAATAAATAGACGTGGGAAATGTTGCTTTGAGAGGAAAGAAAATTCGAAAAGAAAACTAAGTTTGGATAATTATAGAATTGCTATTAAGAAACCCACATTCGTTTTATAGGGTCTCAACCTATGATTCAACTCGAACTCTCCCTTTTCCGACAGCTAAAGGCAACGAACTGTGGAAAAAATTAAGATTATTAAAGTTGGGTGAGTTTTTGACATGACAGATGTTCGTCTTTACCAACAGCTTTATTTTCTTAGAAGTATTTGCATAATTTATTTAGAAAAAAAATATCCAAAAGACTTTTTTTAAATTTGAATTATTTATACTAGGTTGGGCTATTTTATAGGGTTGAACCTTTTCTACTCTATCTGGTAACAAATTGTCAAAATTCTAAAAAAATATAACATTTATATTACATTGATAAACTAAGTTAATAAATTCAGAGTGCTAACCAAAATCTTTCGTTGCCACGGCAACCAAAATTTAAAAAAAAAATCAATGTGTTTTTTATTTAAATTCACTGCTTGAAATCATAAAGTATATTTATGTCTTTGTTTTTCGGTTTTTTTTGAGATTATTTATTTATTGTGTGTTTGTAAAAAGGGCATTTTTCAAATGAAGAAGTTGTTTGTAATCCGAAGAAAACTGAAAGTCTTCGTAGATTAAGCGGTCAAAGCTAATATAAGATTTATTAAATTTAGGGAAATATCGATGATGTTCTGAATAATTCGCCAGTACAAAATGCTTTCATGGCGTTTCTCTCGAATTTACTACTAGACTCGCCTTTTTTGTCAGTCACTGAAGAATAAGAAGAGTTTTGACCGTATTTTAACGATGAATTCTACTATTATTGCATAATTAAATGGCGACTGCAAAATGTAAACAAATAGTCTACATCCCACTCTGTTTCATCTCTTCAAAACGTAAAATCTCCACAGCAACTGAAGCCATAGATGTAAATGACAAAAATATTCTGTAGCCTTACATTGGATTATAATTATAATTACTATTACTAATACTCGCTAATAAACATTCTACGTTAACGGAAAATACTCAGGGAAATAGAAAAACAGTGAAAAACGAATTCCACGACTTTTTAAATGAAAAAATTGAATCTTAAAATCCTTTTTTGAGGAGATTTTTTCTAGTTTTTTTTTACACAGACTTTGTGGAACCTTGCTAGCATTAGATTAGAGAATAATTCCCTTGATAATGATTATTGGAGCTGAAGAACAAAGAATTTAAAAAATTATACAAAAATATTGAGTTTGAAAAGAATATCTCCCGGCTCTATGGAGTGCTTATGTGATCGTATAAGTCACACACTGAGAATTTATATATCGTTCACAGAAAGAATCTATGTAAGCGGGTATAGAATATGAACTATCAAGCAGGCGGTATGGTAAACATTAGGTTTAACGAAAGAAAATATCTCAAAATTGTCACCTGTTTGACGTGAATAAAATACGTCTTATTAATCTTAATGAAATCGAAAAAAACCAAAGACCAGACTTATCCTACTTTCAATCTTATCAAGAGTAGTAGGCCATTTGGAATAACCTATGATGTCTTTACGATCTTTTTGGTTTTAAATATATAGATTTTTACGGTATTTGTTTTGCAAAAAAAGAGCAGCTTCGAAAAAGACACGGAGTATACTAATAAGAAAATTTTTCGTTTAAAAATAAAAACAGAAAATCGATCCCACTTCCGTTAGGGGAAGAACTATAGAATAGATTTAGTAAAGATTTTATGGAGAGTAGACCGTCTTTGTCACTATGATATTTAGTGAATGATATCATGAGAGGGGATGTTTAGACTTTTCTTACTAACCTATTTCGTCCAACTCTTTCCCAATCTTTGACCAGGATTTGAAGTGTTTCATCGGGAGATAAAACTTGACTCTGTAAGTCCCATTCAAATTTCTACAAACGGCAAAATCATAAGTTAAGATAGATAAATAATCAGAAATAAAAAACAAATAAATAAATGTTTATTTCGGTAAGGTTAAGCACGGCCATGTTGAAGAGTTTTAGTTTAATATATTGCCTCGAAAATCAATGATAAAAACATGAAAAAGAAGTCCAACGTGCCTGATTCCAGACTGGATTGAGTTCATCTTTTATGACCTCTGTTTTCTTCTTAATCCCTAAAAGTCCAAACAAGAAAAAAAGATTAAACTTACGCTTACCACTTCGAATCAAAATTTCACTTCACGAAAGAGGATATTTCGTTTTCAATGCCGAAAAAAACCTACCTTGGAATATAACAATACAGTATGGATCACTTTTTCCGAAAGTCTCAACATTTGGTACGTCTTTTGCGCTGTTTACTAGTACCCGTAGCATTTTTCCTTCTTAAAAGAAATCTTAACCCATACGACGAAAATCATCACGGCTGTGCCATCATTATACAGACCAAGTGTGTGTTGTCCACGAAAGATCAGCAGTGAAAAACATTTACATAATAATGAAATGGCATGAATTATTGAAAACGGTTTGTCTAGCATGATGACCACAGACTAATTCTCTATATTGAAGCCTACGTAGTATGATGATTGTTTAAGTTGACTGTAAAAATCGAATTTAAAGAAGATGAAACTTTTGTTTTTCAATTTTTTTCCTGGCCTAGCATTTGAAAGGTTTTCTTTCTTTGTAACCGCTTGGCAACCACTCGACTACCATCACGAAAGAGCTTGTTTTTTGATCTTCTAATAAACTAGGTAACTATAAAGCTAGATAAACGTTCGAGCATAATTTATCGTTTTGTTTTAACGTCGTAGTAAATAATAAATGTAAAATAATAAAATAATGAGAGCAGCGAAAGAGCTAATTCAGTTCGGCCTAGGTAAAGATGGCAATCGAGTACACTTATTTTTGATTTTATTGGATATAAACTTAAATATGAAAAAAGTTCTTTACTTCTAGACCTGGAGCTGTTGATATCTTGATGTTTTTACGCCGGAGTTTTAACTTCTGGTTGGATATAAAAATTTAAACAAAGTTGTAAAATACGCTAGTTATTACCTTGTACCAACAAGATAGCGATGGGGTCGCTCAAACCATTTTTGTTTATTCCTTTAAGGTTGGTAGCTTTGAGTTCTGTAACCCTAAACATTCCTGAAGGCATCCTCTAGTTGAAAGAAGAATTCTGAATGATTCAGCCTTTGATAAAACTCAGGAACATAACGAGTAGACCACGGTTTCTTTTCAGTCCTGGAGAAAGAACGCTGAGTCAATGCGCTCTGTGATGCATACAGGCGTTTCAAAAGTGTTCTCTTTAAAATGTCATTCTTTCAGTCCCTAGAGCCTGAACAAGCACGAGATTTATGCACTGGTTTTATTGGTTTTAACACGAAAACAAAAGTTTTTTTAACTTCTGCATGAAGAAATCTCTTGCCACTTTGGTAGTTAGTTTAGCGCATTGATGTTTATTCGATCAAAATAATTTTATTTTATTCTATTGGGTGAATTACTGAATTGAACAAATGCTGTTTAAACTGTGATTTTGCTTCTTTATGCAACTATATATTTATTTATATTATTCCGTATTGTGATGCTAAAGAGAAAAAAATAAAGAAAGGATGGATCGAGGAAGGAAGGAAGAAAGAAAGAGAGAAAGAAAGGAAGAAAGGAAGAAAAATATAGAGATAGAAAGAAAGAAAGAAAGAAAGAAAAGAAAGAAAGATAGACAAAAAGAAGGAAAGCAAGGAAGGAAATATAAATGTAAACAAGAAAGACTGAAAGAAGGGAAGAAAGAAAGAAAAAAAAGCATAACAGGAAACTCATTTAAAACTGAGCAAGTCGGTACCATGCTACCTGTTTTAAATAAGATATCCATATTACTGTTGAATCCATCCTAAAAATGAAAGAGAATGGCAAATGCATCGTGATTTGAAGTCAAGTCAACACAGCTGAGTCAATAGCCTGGTCAGCAGACCTTTAAACTTCACCACAACAGTGACGTAACGTCTAAATATAAGTCACGTGATTTATCATAGATTTTGATTTCTGCGAAGGCCGTCACATGGTACATTAGTCTCGGCGCTTTTTTGCATAATACTTATCGCGTGTACGGACCTTAAAAGCTTGATGAAAGAGCATCGTATTTCCTAATAACGACACGAAAGTCGTATGTGAGTAGAGCTGTCTGTTTGTTCTCTTTTGTGTTTCGAGTTTTTTTTCCTTTTTCTTCTTGATTTTCTTCCCTCTTCAAAAATCAACTTTTAAATTCTACTTCGATCTATCGGTAGCCTTATCAAGTGGGTTGCAAAACTCGTTAGGCTTTCCATCCACCATGAAGAGATAAAAGAATACATATATTTTTTAAAGAACGGAATGGAAAGGTCCAAAATATTTTGCCGGATTTTTTGTCAAGTTACAATGATGTCAAAGGAAACGAATACCTGCTGAGCATGCGCATTTTCTTATTCACACAAAGCGTGGGGCCAAGCATGCGCAATAAAAGTTATAGTGTCAAAGTTAATCGCATATAACCGATTTTCATTTTTGGTCCTCGATGAAAAGCAATTCTCTAAAATGTTTCCTTGCTGGTAGCCTTTTTATAGGAGAACTCCAGTGATGTTGAAAAGGCTACTTTTTGTAGGTAGAGGGATTTCCAGTTGCGTCTTTAACGTAACTTTTGAGGTTTTAATTCGGCTTCGTTTTCTCATCGGGAATTTTTGACACTAAAGCAGTTTTATCAGTAGGTTTTTAGTTACTTTTGGCGCGTTCTCTATTTAGTTTTATTTTCTATACATATTATTTGCATTTGTTCTTCTACTTTTTATTTATTTATTTCAATATTAAGACATACCGCTTTTGAATATGAAATTTATTTATTAATATATTACAGGTTGGTACTTATTTTTAGGAGCTGAGAAGGAGGGAGGGGGTCGTGATTTGGGGTAGTGTGTGAGGGCCCTCACATGTGTTAAATATTGGAAGTTTTAAAGACTCTAAGTTAATGAGTTAATGAAAAAGTGAATGCTATCTTTTAACTATCTGAACACGTCTTGCTGTGCAAGGTCTTTGGACCATGATTACCGCGACCGCGAATGAATAATGCATCCTAAGGCGAAAAATAATCCATTCTGTTTTGTTTTGGATACCCGTTTTTATAATTACGCAACCACAACCTCGGACGCTGAGAGTTTGGTTTCCGTTAATCAAAAATTACTAACGCATTCCATTGAAAAATTGATTGAAGAAAGCTTATTGTCTGGTTCGCGTAAACATAACAATTGGAATAGTTCAGATATTTAGTTTTACTTAGCTTTAAACGAACCTTCCTGGGACACTTTAGACTATAGTATTCAGTATTCACAGAAAAATAATCTTGTTTTGAAATAGCTGGTATTTTAAGTATTTGGATATTATTTAGACTAGGAAACCAATTCCATCTTAGGATAACGTGGGATAAGATAAGTTGGTTTAAGGAAATATTCCATGGCCTGTATATTCAAATATTCAACATTTTCTTGACTGTATATCCCTAAAAAGATAATAAATATTGAGTTAATATTTTGGTTATTTTTTATCAGAAAAAGTCTGCATGGCTGTTTGCGCGTATCTTCTAGATGGTATGTATATTTGCGCTCACCGTTTCTTACGGCTCGTTTAGTGTTGAGTGTCTTGTTTATTTTTAAATATACGTTACTATATGCGCACGAGTTTGCGGGCAGGAGAATTGCGCAATTAATTTGTTGCAAGCTAGTCACAAAGCAAGTGTTGCTCGTATTATTACAGCGCGCACTGCAAATTTTCTTTGTTGTACGCGACGCGATAGGAGCATTCTACTCTTTGCAGCTATACAAATTGTTGCGCGCGCAGTTTGCAACTAAAGAGTAGTGCGTACACGATTTCGTTGTTCAAAAGTACGTACTATAATAATAGTAGTGTATGCGTACATGTCGTAGTTTATCTATTAGGTATGCGTATTGTTATAATCTGTGCGCATATCATTAGCATGGCTATTTTTTATTGCGCATGTTTTATCTCCGTCCGTGTTCGACCGGGTTCATTATATACGCATATTTAGGGTGTATACTTGTAAGCGCTGTATATTAGCAAGACCATACGTACCGGCATGCTGTAGACGAACAAGAAAATCATCAAAACCAGCAACACAAATAGAAGAAAGCCAATAATATACCATTTGTAGTTCCTCCAGATGACGTAACGCATTGTCTTGAAAGGAGACATGAACCACAGAAAGGATGTCTTGGGACGGCTTAAGACAAACATAGTAAACAGCTGATGTTATCTATACAATCATTTATTATTTTGATCATTTGTATGCTATTTTGAATAAAAGTCGTTTTTGTTGTTGGGATCTCTGTGGAATGTTAACCACAGGCTACCCACGCCGCGTGTTTGTTCTTAAATTCTGCAGTCTATTTGTAGCCACAAGTCAAATCACAAGCCTTATTTGCTTGAGTATTACTTTTTGTTTTACGACTAACGGTCTCTCTCTTGAGTCATGTAAACAATAAATAGGTACAAAGGATATGGAAAGAACGAACAGTAAACATTAATAGGAATCTAGTGAGCTTACTTTGGTTCAGGTAGATTTGGATGCTGATTAGGTTCGTCTCGTCCTTTCCCTGCTGGTTTGGCTTGGGCCTCCACCTCAGTCAGGAGCTCCACTGTCATATCAACTTTTCCCTTTTAAACGAGAGGAAAATAAAAAAAGATAAATCCATTGTTTGTGCTCTAATTTTTTCTTTGTAAATTGTAGCTATCATGCATGTGGAATAGACTTTTTTTCGAGCTCCAAATTACCACTGTGTTCCTTGATTACTGACTCATTTACTCAGGGTTAGCCTCGAATCAGTGTCTAAATATTCACAAATACCAACAGCAAAGTAAAGAATGCACAACTCCAACAATACGAACACTTTAAAATTTCACGGACCTTCATTAGAACACATAAATATTCTACATAAATTCGAGGCTAACCCTGAGCAACAGAGAATTCAGTTGAAACTGGATCACATAGCTGCCATTTTGAATGTTTCTGTTTTGACCTCAAGAATTGGGATTAGTGCAAAGGTCAGGGTCTACAGTGAGATTGTTCAGTCGATATTTATAGTAAGTTAACCTCTGGTTTGCCTGTCAAAGAATCATCCTTCCAACAGCCCCACCATCCACGAATACTCTTACAGTGGAAGAGGTTTACAAAGTCTTCAGAGTCATCTTTTCGTATGCTCGGGTCATACTTGGTTCCACAGTATCGTGAACTCTTGCAGGGTTTGGCGAGTTTGTGAATTAGAAGGGTTCTCGTTCCTAAAATAACCATGAACAAATATGGTAGTTGTTATAAATTCTTTTTCCAACTGATCACGTGAGGAACATATTTTTCTATCACGTGATAAAGGGGGACTTAACTACTTAGTCACGTGATAAGAGAAAAGACACATTTACGAGTATCTAGCTTTATTTTTACATGTGTGCACCATCACGTGATGGAGAGGGAAAATTTACTAATTGTTCACGTGATATAACGCGTTGAACACGTGACAAGAACCATAAATACATTTTTCAATCACGTGGTGGGAATGTACACATTGCAGCTTGGTCACGAAACGAGAAACGGATGCATTTTTGATTTAATACGTCATCATAACAGTAACAGGTCAGATCTTTTTTCACGTGGCAGGTGAAACATTTGCCATAGTTTCCATTTTTTGCTGATCACGTGATAGAAAATTTAAACTGTGTTGGCCTGTGAGGGGTACCATCTATCTATTACGTAATGGAAACAGGAACTATAACTGATGAGGATCAACACCTTACCTAAGAAGTCATCTGGCGAGAACTTATCGTTTTCCCATATCTGGAGTTTAAGCTTCGGTTCGACTTTCTCTTCCGTCTTGTACAAATGAGTGAGCTTGGTCTTTTTGACAAATAGAAGGGAGAATGATATAGTAATAAGCTGCAAACTCTTAACTTTTAACTTTTAATTGATTTCAATCATTCCCAAGAGAATGAAATAAAAAAACACGTGGGGCGGGCATGTTAGCTGACATAATGAGAGTCTAATCAGCTGTCTAAAGGTAACTTTTTTGTTGGATTGAACCACCATGGTGGCTTTATTCTTGAGGTACATGTTACGTCATAGCCGACATGTTGGTTGACGATAACAAAACATTCCTTATCAGCTTCTTTTATCAGATCATCCAACATCCAAAGGAATATCGGTCTATGAAATCTACCGAGGAGTTTTCGCGCACCTGTAAATCCTGCCTTGAGTTATTACACCAACTTCTTTCGCCGACGCAAGCCTAAATTCTAGCAACAGTTCGATTCTGGGCTCTGAATCCGGGGCAGAAGACGCAAACTCAGTCTGGGACGAATTTGACGAAATAGCAAAAAAATACCGAAAGAATCTCAAGATCGGACACGTAAATGCAAACAGCATTGGCGGTTTCAAGTTCCATGAAGTAAAGACCTGGCTGCTCTCTGGCAAGCTTGATATCCTTGTGATTTCTGARACCAAGATTGATGAGAGTTTTCCTGATAGTCAGTTTCAAATCGACGGTYATCGTTTGTGTCGAAACGATAGAAAGGCCGGCGGAGGAGGACTCATGATTTACGTGAGAAGTGATATCTACTTTGTGAGGGTCCAGCAACTCAGTGGTCTATCTCCGGAACGTTGGTCTCGGTTTAGAACCGAATCAATTGTACTCAAGATTAAACTGGGCAAAACTTGGCTTGTTGTCGTTGGCATTTATAGACCTCCTTCGTTTCCCAATACACAATGGACGGAGGAGCTTACACTTCTCTTTGAAGCTGTTTCTGCACTAAGCGATACTGTATTTTACGCCGGGGATTTCAATGCGGACCTCTTAGATCCCGACAAACCCCCTCGAGAAGGACGTTGTCTTCTGCATCTAATGGATATTTTTGATCTTGACTGTCTAATCACAAAGGCAACTCGTAAGACACACACATCCGAAACGCTGCTAGATTTGATCTTGACAAATTCCAAGAAAAAGGCTCTGACATCAGATGTAGTTGATACGCAAATAAGCGATCATTCTTTAGTATACACCATTTTACGGGCAACGGCTCCAAGATCGCGCTCTCGAAAAATATGTTTTCGAAGTCTCAAGAACTTTAATCAAGGAAAATTTATGCAAGATTTGCAAACGGTACCATTTTCTATAGTAGATGTTTTTGACGATGCGGATGATAAACTTTACGCCTTTGAACAACTTTACACTGGTATTTTAGATGAGCACGCACCTCTTAAACAAACAGTTATCAGGGGAAACAAGGTTCCTTACATGACAGAGCAGTGGCGCAAGGCTATAAGGCATAGAAACAAGCTCTGGAAAAAGTTCAGCAAGGACCGCACAGACGCGAATTACGATCAATACAAAATTCAGCGAAATAAATGCACATCGTTAAGACGGAAGGCTATTAAAGAACATTTTGCGAAAAAATCTACGGAACCGGAAAACCCAAGGGAGTTCTGGAATACGTATCGGCCTTTCCTATGCACTAAAGCGAAACAAGCAAATGACATAATCCTAGAGGAGAACAACAAAGTCATAAGTGAAAAGCGTGAAATTGCTGAACTTTTAAATGAACATTTTATTAAGATCACAGAGAGCGTGGGGGCGG